GAACAGGCGTCACGTGAACACGGCGGTGCTGAGTTTCCAGGGTGCTGCTGGAGAGGCGGTTCCCGCCATCCTCAGCGGCTGCTCTCTGGAGACACAGTTCCATTGAGTGATGCACCATGTGCTCTGAGGATTTCTGCAAAGCAACAACCTCCAGAAATTAGCGCAACCCCTGCTGTTCTCAGTTTCTTCCATGACCTAAAATAACTTACTGAGCAATTCAGAGAGAAATGCAAATCATTGTCCTTTTTTTTTCTTACCAGTTTCCTTGTTATCGTTGGGGCAAAAGCCTCTTTACTATAACCCAGAGGTGGGTTTTATTGATTCACCTGTGCATTTGCTGAGCAAAACCTGGAGCCCACAAAAAAGTACAGAACTTATAAGACAGAATCATGAAACTTCAGTCATTGACAGATTTCTTTCTGCTTCTCTTGTTCATTAAACGGATTTTGAGCACCTATTGTGAGATTTGAATGACCCGTGAGTTCTGAGCTTATTCAAAAAAATGTTGATCTGAGCAGACACGATGACTTCACTTTAATGTTTATCATCCTCTCTTTCAAGTGTCTGAATACAGCGTATGAGATCACCAAGGGAGAGTGATTGTTAGTCACTTTGGAATAGAACTATAGGGGAGAGTCCAAAAGGTAACATTTGTTTTTACGTTCTTGCAGTGAAGACACAAAACGTATATGCTTTTACAAAAACTAATAGTAACATTTGGTAATATAGTCAGTAATGGACTAATCATAAAATTATGTATCTGATTATCCTCAGATGTTAAACAGAGTTGCTAGATATGCTAAAATCAGGGTGGTTTCCATTAATACCATCACAATTATTTATTATCTCAAGAAATGTATTGAGTGCCTGTTATAAGCCAGGCATCCTTTTAGCATTGGAAAAATAATCAAAGCAATAGCTAACATTTGTGGAACTGTGTCAATCTGCCACAATGCACCGATAATCGCTTTTAATAACCAGAACAATCCTTTGTGCTGAGCTGTGATATGGACTCACCACACCAGCTTTGGCGGTGCTGAGCAGCTCTTATCAGCTTCCTAATGTGTCCCACCTGTCTGATATCCCCTTTAGGGTCATAAAAGTCCTATAAACTATACACTGTAGCTAATCAGCTTCAAAGCAGTCTTAAAGCACCGTTTGTGGAAAATCACTTCCAGTAGGAGAGATTCGGGACGTCCCAGCCCAAGTTCCCTTCAGGCTGAGCAGAGAGGCTGCCCCTGCCGCTCCACCTGCGTGTTCCTGCTGCAGCCACCAATAGGTCACATGGGCTCTCATTCCTAGATGCTACTGCTCTTCCCCTAGTGAGGGCCAGTCAGGAAGGGGTTGCCAGCACGCACTCATTCTCAGGTATTCCTGGCTTAACTATTTCGGGCAGAAGATGGATGTCAGACATACATACCTAAACACAAGGAGAAACTGAGTTTATTAACCAAAAGAGACCAACCTTTGCACATGGCAATGTGAGGTCCTAGAATTTTTGTCATTGTTTTATTTGCATGTGAGTGAGTTCAGTATTCATGTAGCACAATGCCTGGTTCACAGGCTGAGTATGAATACCTCTCATTATTATTCTTTACCAGTTTTCAGTAACAAAGCTTGGTTTGGAAATAGTGCAGTGGAAATTTTCACGATCTGGGGCTGAACAACTTTTAGATAGCCTGCACCTGTTCTGCTTAGACCTAAGTCAGACCTTGGGGAGGCCCCAGGTGAGAGAGTGGATTTTCTTCCAAGTCATCCTCTCGTTTGGGGCTTGGAGGGGGCGATGAACCGCATGTTGAGAATGAGGGCCCAGGGATCACACAGGGAGCCTCGGAGTCTAAACACGACCTCGCCCTGGGGCCCGCTTTGAGGAGTCTCCAGCCTCAATGACAGGTGGCTCAGAGCAGGGAGCAGAGAAGACCTTCCAGCCACAGGGCTGGTTCTGCCTGGTCACATTCAGGAGTCCTGCGGGCGTCAGAACTGCTCGTGGATCCCATCTCCCAGGCGACTGCCCGTGCTGACTTGTGAGCTGTGCTGCGTCTTGAGCAGGAATGTCCATCGCTGTGGGGATGCTGTTGACAATTCCGGGGTCACAGCAGCACGCCAGGCTGCGGGAATTGGAGCTGCTTGAGCTTCCCCATAAGCTTCTGCCTCTCCCACTGTGCCCCGACGCTGGCAGGCCCTCCTGCCCCCGGGGTGAAGGAGGACCACACCATTCTTGGCAGTTCTCTGTGGCCTCCCAGGAGCTCTGCATGTGGGACGACGTCCCTGGATCCTGCTCACCTTTCTCCTTCTTCTTCCCCACAGTGTCATCCTGTGACCAAGAGCACCAGTCTGCCCTGGAGGAAGCCAAGCAGCCCAAGAATGACAACGTGGTGATCCCTGAGTGTGCGCACGGCGGCCTCTACAAGCCAGTGCAGTGCCACCCCTCCACGGGGTACTGCTGGTGCGTCCTGGTGGATACCGGGCGCCCCATTCCCGGCACATCCACAAGGTAAATAGGCCGCACCCACCTCCGTGACCACGGGAGGCTTGGGGCGTGGAAGCCAGGAAAGCAGAACCCTCACATCCCCGATGTGCGTGCACACTCACAGACACTCGTGCACACACACTCACACACACTCACACACACACACACACACACGCACACACACGCACTCACACACACTCTCACACACACACACTCTCACACTCACACACACACACGGACACTCACACTCAACACACACTCACATGCACACACGCACACACACGCACTCACACACACGCACACACACACTCACACACAACACACTCTCACACACACGCACACGCACACACACACGCACACACACACACTCGCACACACTCACACACACACTCACACACACTGCCATACACACACACACTCACACACACACTCACACTCACACACTCCGCCATACACACACTCACACACACTCGCACACACTCACACACACACACTCACACACTCACACTCACACACACTCTCACACACACTCACACACACTCTCACACACTCACACTCACACACACTCTCACACACACACTCGCACACACACTCACACTCACACACACTCCGCCATACACACACACGCACACACACACACTCACACACACTCACACGCGTGCACACACACTCTCACACACACACACGTACTCTCACACACACACTCCCCCCATACACACACACACACTCCCCCCCATACACACACACACTCACACACACACTCACACACTCTCACACACACACACGGACACACACACACACTCACACTGAGTACACACACATGCACACTCACACACTCACACACACTCACACACACACTCTCACATGCACTCACACACTCCCCCACACACTCAAACACACGCACACCCACACTCACACACTCCCCCCACACACACTGAAGTACACTCAGACACACATTCACACCCACACTCATACAATCCCCCCAAACACCCTCACACGCACACTCACACATGCACACACACTCCCCACACACACACTCACACCCACACTCATAGAATCCCCCCAAACACCCACACTCGCACACTCACACGTTCCCCCACCCCCACACACACTGCTCCCACACATACTCATACAATCCCCCAAACACCCACACTCACACACTCACACACTCCCCCCAACACACACACTCGCACTCACACCCACACTCATACAATCCCCCCAAACACCCACATTCACACACACGCATACTCACTCCCCCACCGCCATGCACACTCACACACTCCCCCCACACACATTCAAACAATCCCCTAAACACCCACACTCACACACTTTCTCACACACTGATACCCACACACACACTTCCCCCACACACACACTCACACACTCTCCTCCCCACACACTCTCATACCCACCCTCACATACTTCCTCCACACCCATACACACACACACACACTCACACCTAAATTCATACAATCCCCCAAACACATACACACTCTCACACACTCTCACACACACTTTCACACACACTCATACCCACACTCACACACTTCCCCACACACACACACTCCCCCCACACTCATACACACACACACTTATACCCACACATACTCCCCCACACCCACACTCTCACACACACACTCTCATACACACACCCATACTAACTCCCCCGACACACCCCCACACTCACACACATGCCCATTCACACACTTCCCCCCCACACACTCTCATACACACCCACACTCATACACTTCCCACACACACCAACACTCACACACACACTCTCCCCACACACTCGCACATGCAATCTCTCCAACAGCTGGGGGTGTTGCACCCTCACACACACAGTCTCTCCATCAGCTGGGGTTGTTGCACCTCCTCACCTGGATGGTCTGGGACTCCAAGTCGCGATCACCCAGCGCCGGGTGATCCTCTGCTCTTTCGCATGAGGTGCCTGTAAAAGCCAGTGGCTGGGCCGGGCGTGGTGGCTCACGCCTGTAATCCCAGAACCGTGGGAGGCCGAGCTGGGTGGATCACCTGAGGTCAAGAGTTCGAGACCAGCCTGGACAATATAGTGAAACCCCCATCACTAGTAAAAATACAAAAAATTAGCCAGGCGTGGTGGCAAATGCCTGTAGTCCCAGCTACTCGGGAGGCTGAGGCAGGAGAATGGCTTGAACCCAGGAGGTGGAGCTTGCAGTGAGCCAAGATCCGCCATTGCACTCCAGCCTGGGCGACAAGAGCGAAATTCCGCTTCAGCTGTTGGAGGAAACCGTTTCTTGGATGGCCTCCAAAACCGCCCGAGTGGCAGCTGGAGAGCAGCAGGGCCTTCGCCTTCACAGGCAGCGCCAGCTCCTCTGCCCCACTCAGGCCAGACAGAATCTGAAAAGTGGCTCTGGGGCCCAGTGCCAGGGTGGAAACGTGGACAGCATCAAATACCAGTGGCAACTTCCTTCTGCTCCTGGTTTTGGCAAAGGGAGCTCAGCATTTCATAAGCTGAAAGAACCCATTGTCCAAGATGGCTTTTTATGGTATTCACACATGTGTGTCCGGAATTTATCATTTTTAGAAAAAATGAGACTGTGCTAAAGACAAGGGCAATGAAAGTTATTCGAGAGTCTGAAATACAAAAATAACTTGTTCACTCGAGTTTTGTGTGAGTTGGAGCAACGTGAGGGATTTCACTGTAGCACCCAAAGAACAAGAGCTGTGTGTTCATGGAAATTGTATAACCGTGAGTAGAAACGGGTTTGCAGCTCTTTGTAACATGAATTTGACTTTGATTTTTCCTAGATTTATATAAAAATAGTTTTAAAATCTATGAAAATATTATCTCGTAAATGTTATCAAATGTAGCCACTGATGTCACCTCTAATGCTTAGGCATGACCATTTGGATGCTTCCTAAATTATTTTCCAAATTTGTCATCAAGTGTCACCAGTAGACATTTGTGGGGGAAACTGTGTAATTTCCAGGGGCTCAAGGGGACTAATGCCTGTTTCACCAAGATCGGGTCCACCCATCACCGTCTGGCCCGGTGGGAGTCCTGCTTTGGGGAGTGTGATGACGCTGGCGTGTGAGTGCCGCCCCTTCCTAGCCGGCGCTCCACTGTCCGGTCGCCCTGGCTGACCGTCTGCTCTTGACACCCCACTCAGCCGACACTGCACAGGGGTGCTGAGGCCAGCGGCTGAGGCTTGGCTTCTGCGGGGCTGATATGGGGGATTGGTTCAAACCCATGTGCTCTGCAGGACCTGAAGAGAACGTAAACCGTGTGCTCTGCGGGGCTTGAAGAGAACACAAACCTTTTCAAGGTTTTGGTGTGAGAATTATATAATAATTCCTATATTATTTTCCAAATTTGTCATCAAGTGTCACCAGTAGACATTTGTAGGGGAAATTGTGTGGTTTCCAGGGGCTCAAGCTGACTAATGCCTGTTTCACCAAGATTTTTTTAATCTTGGTGCCTAGGTGTACAGGGAGTACTGTTGTCTGAGAAACCTTTCTTGGAAGCAATGTTTCTGCGTCTCTTAGAGCTCTCGCTGGTTTACTGTGCATATAAGTTGGGGCAGCCCCAGCCCCCAGTGAGGCCCCTCTAACAGAGGTGGAGACCGCTGGCAGACGCTGTTTTACACACGCCAATGAAAATCTTTAAGCTGTCAAACCCAGAGCTCCTCAAACTGGCTCTGAAATTATGAGATCAGCATTTATAACGTTGTCCCTGAAGAACCTGCCAACGTCCAATATTGTGATAGGCTAGGAACACAATAACCCCTCTCTTTCCGTCCATCGATGCTGGTTTCATTCCGCCTGGACTTCATCCTGCTTTCACGGTAGAAAGAAAAGTCTCTGGCTGTCCCGTTCCCTATTTCTGCCTACAGAAGGGGGCAGCTCCGTCTTCTTGGAGTTTCAGAAAGAACATGAAATTAAACAAATGGAGACAACTCCTTAGATTCGGCATGTGATTTTACCTTTATTATTTTCCATTCATTCATTCACCACAAATACTGATTGTCGACAACATTCAAACCCTCTTCCAGGGACTGAGGAAATAGCGTTGAATAAGAGAGGAGAAGCCCCGCGTCTCCTGCGGTTTACACTCTGCCAGGGGGGCGTCAGGCCCAGAACTGTTGTACCTTGCTGCCAACAGAAAGCCCCCAAACTTACCTAGTCTCAGAATGTACTTCTTACTCAACTCTATAGAGACAGGGAAGTTCTGGACGATTTCAGCAGTTCAAAGACGTAATTGTCAGACGTCGTAGTGGGTGAGGGGGTGGTAGTTGTTTTCGTCTGTTCTGCTGTCTTCCGCTTCCTGGGGTGCTTTGCGGCTTGTTCGTGTCATAGCTGTTAGGGCATCATATGTAGCAGTGATCATGTATTTTGGAGAAAGAAAGACTGTTTTTCTGTTTGTCAGCAGAGAAAACCCTTCCCCACCCGCCTGCAGTGGTTTCGCCTCACCCTAATTGGCCGGAATATCACTGAACGCCCAGACCCAGACCTGCCTTGGGCTGGGGAGAAAAGGGGAAGGGACCTGTTGTGGTTCCTGTTTCAGCACCCAGGGCTGGACTAGGATTACCCTCTTGGCGCCCACAGCCACATGGAGCAGGGTCTGTGGCTAAGAAAGTCTTGCTTTTGTTACAAACGTGGAAGGAGAGGCAGCCTGCAGGGTCTGGTTCCTTGTGCAAACAGTTAGGTGGTAGACACAAAGATGGTAGAGGTGGTGGGGCAAGACCAGGGCTGGGCCCAGTGAGGGCAGGGCAGGGTGCCGGCACAGGCCTCTCTGAGACTGAGATGCTGGAGGTAGTTGTAGCCACAGTGGGTGGAGAGGGTTGTTTCAGGCAGAGGGCAGGGAGTGCAGAGTCCTGGGAGAGATGAGTCTGGTGTGTCTGAATGGGGAGTGACAAGGTTTGGCTGTGTCCCCACCCAAATCTCATCTTGAATTGTAATTTCCGTAATCCCCACGTGTTGCGGGAGGGACCTATGCTGTGGGAAGTGATTGGATCATGCAGGTGGTTTCCCCCGTGCTGTTC